TTTACTACTTATAATAGACGTTTTTAAATGTGGTGGCATCAGAATTTGATGTCGGACCTCTCACCATAACACCTTACTAAATAGATAGAAATATTTCATGCCACCTCAGACGTCAGCTGGCGTCAGGTCTGAATTCAAGCCCTTTTGTTGGTCATGAAAAGGTACACATAAATTTGTTTCAAACAGATATCATAATTTTCATTCAATGTTAAATCCTAGGGTATAAATATGAATAAGTTTTCCTGGTAAGAGAGCAGAATATCATCAATATGAAAGTATAAATTTAGGCTTATAGAAAAGTGCAGGCCACAAATTTCAGTCTCACAACAGAACACAGTAAACTTAGATCCACGCCATAATGTATTGTATAGTGTTGGCACTGCCACACATGGTTGTGGTACATCAAAGCCAATTTCAAATCATGTGTTACCAGATTACCCAGACTTTGCTGGTTAAATAAAAAGAGGAAATATGACTCAGAGGAATGACCCTTCAAGACGCACTATAAGGCGGCAGTGAATACCTGAAGGGTGCTATCCTTTTTTGTTATCCGTGCTGAAATAGATGCATAGCAAGAAGAAGGTTTTCTGGTTGGTCCTCTGGCTTCCCCTAATGGTCACTAGGGCTATTTGTATTGTCACTTTGAGTGTAGTTAATTCACAGTTTGTCATCCAGGTTTTTTTCCCTTCACTTTACATACAGTTGATGGAAATTCATCATTGTAAAATCATGCCAGATATATTTGTAATATTTTTTTTTACCATTGTGAACTCTTGCTTGCTTGCTAGTTGTACCCCACCAGAGCATCACACAAGCGATAAACACCCGATGACACAGAGTAACACCATGTGGATGAGGATCACCCGTGGAGAGGTCCCAGAAACCCCTTTAAGTCGTTATGGCCCAGCTATACTCAGGGCTCCTGGCAAAAGCCAGGGTGGGGCTTCGGCTATCTTCTGAATAACGGTCCGAAATTATCGAGGCCGAAAATATACCCTAACAGAGCCTCAGTCACGTGTCAATTGCGAACTTCCAGTGACTTAAATTGCGCACTTCCGGCGACTTCCGCCACCGCCGAGAGTATCCCCCACGCCGCTTACACGGCGTGGATTGGGGCTAAACTAAATGGCTGGGACTCATGAGCAGCAGATTCCTCATCTGCAGCTTCCTTCATTTTATTTGCTCGTGAGTCCCAGCCATCTAGTTCAGCCCCAATCCACGCCGCTTGAGCGGTGTGGGGGATACTCTCAGCGGTGGCTGCATAGTCCCCGGAAGTGCGCAATAGACACCTGACTGAGGCTCTGTTAGGGTATATTTTTGGCCTCGATAATTTGGGACCGTTATTCGGAAGATAGCCGGGGCTTCAAATAACGCAAAATTGCATCCCACATGGGGACTTCTTAGATATTATGTGAACTCTTTCAGTACCAGTGAACTTACATTCCTTGGTAACTAAACAGGGTATTTATTGACGTTTCTGTCTCATCATTCTCTTGTCTTAATCCTTTCTCTTCATATTGCTTGAGTCCTAGAATAGTCTTTTTCAATTCCTTAACAAAAAACAAATTACATCTAAGAACACACACAATTATATAGCAGTTTTAATAATTTCTTCCTCTTTGTGTTCACTGGCTGTAAATTCTCTTGGTAAGTTCTGGTTATTCGTCCACTTCAGGACTTAGCCTTGTTCCAGAACTTGAGTTTTGAGTGCACATCCATTTTACAAATCTAGCTTATTTTTATGCAGGCTGTTGGGTTTCACACATCTCAGGCACTATGACTTTGTAGGAAACACCCAGACAAGGTGAAAACATAAGAATTAATCCTTTCACCCCTGTAACCTAGACAAAAACATTGCCAGAATAGTGTATTTCCCATTTTTCTGGAATTCCCAAAACAAAACAACAAAATTCCTTAAGAAACAACAATTTTATGCGTAACCTAAGAAAAAAAAATTGTAAAACAAACAATTTAAAGACTAGAAGTAAACAAAAATGTCAAACAGATAAAGGAAAGTAATCAGTAAAAATGAATACTCAAAACAATGTTTTCCTGTATGCTTGAAGGGTGAAACTAAGTATTGTCATTCCATGTGAATGTATGTCTTTAATATCATTAATCCATATTCTCTTGCTTAAATTACAACTCTGTGACGATAGCTTATCATCACTGTAAACTGAAAGAATGTAAGTGGTCCCCCCACAATAAATGGGAATGTTTTGTGCACAGATGCAGGGAAAGAGGAGTTCAAATATGCCTACAGCTCTGGGTATACATTCAGCTACAAACTTTAATGTAAAACAATAAAAGCTTTTACCTTTTATAGTCAAGAACCTGCTTTTGATATTTGAAAACTGTTGCATGCCTGACTTGTTGAATTAACACTTCTTAGCATTCATTGGCTGTAAACTTCGGCAGAAAGTTCTGGTTGTTCATCCCCTAGAAAAAAGACTCTTTTTCATCTAGAAAAAAGACTCTTGCTAAAATGAGCACACAGGGGGGATAAAAGGACATATATATATGCCAGGTTTAGAGACTTTCTTTACAGACACTGTGAGAGAGTCAGACTGGAAGAACACAAGAGCAAGCTGGTCAGGTTACAGAAGGTGTCCCCCAGGGAGGTGTTATATCCCCTACCCTGTTTATTTTTTTCATCAGTGACCTCCCAAAACAGTTCACAACTTACATTCACAAGGCCCTACATGCAGATGATCTGGCCATATGGACCCAAGCTGAACATTTAGGAACAACTAAAACAAGGAAGCTTTAAATACGGTTAAGAAATAGACAGACTCTTGGGGAATCAAAATAAAGCAGACCAAAACTGTCTCAATGCTCTTCTCTCTTTCCACAAAGCTAGAACAAGTTGATCTGTACCTGGTAGGCAACATCCTTCCCAAAAAAAGAAAAACCAACATTTGGGAGTAAAATTCGACAAAAGGCTTACCTGGGGCCCCACATTGAAGACACCCAATTGAAAGCTACCCTGAGGCTCAGAGTTATTAAGAAACTTACTGGAACAAGCTAGGGTGCAGATGCCAACATTGTATGGCAAGTATACACTGGATACGTACGGCCAAAACTGGAGTATGGCATGGGAGCATACTCGACTGCAGCCAAATCAAACCTACACAAACTGGACAAAAAACAGAACACTGGTCTCTGAATCATCACTAGAGGTATGAGAAGCACACCAACAAATGGCCTCCAGAGCTTTAACCTTCGAAGAGAAGAAAAAGTACTTACCCTAACATAAATATTTTAATGCATGAACAACCCCACACACAAAATAGCAAACAATTTAACTAAAAACTGACTGAAAAGACAGAGCTTTCACCATCTATCAAAATTGAACAACGGAAAAAACAGTGACTCCTTTCTAAAGATCCTTCAGGGTGGCAGATGATCCGGGCACACAGCATAGACCTACAGCCTAACTATACACACAACAACAATCCCAGGCATAGACAGAAAGGCTGAAAAATGTGATCTAGTACTACATGCATAGACCCTTGAACATGTCTACAACTCTTACTCCAAAACCCAAATGGACACATGTATACACCAAAGGATCATTGGAAGGTGCAGAAAAAATGGAAGCTCTGGATCAGTCATGCTGCAAGATGGGACCACAATAGAAACGTCATGCGCCTCCAGAAGACTCAACAAACTTCAGATCAGCAAGCAATTTTTGATTCAGCCAAAGTACTTGAGGAAGGAAAAATAAAAAACAGCAAAATTGTTTTCCTTTGTGACAGCATGTCAGTCCTCCAGGCGACAGAGGGATCCACGAGACAACATGAAGATAGAACTGACGTGCCAGCTAAACAGACTCTCAGAAAACAAATTGTTCTCCAGTGGATCCTGGCTCACTGCGGCATACCAGGAAATTAGTTAGCAGACAGACTTGCAAAAAATAGAACAAAGGAGAAACAACACACTTATTCATTGTCATTACCAGAAATCAAAACAGTCATCAATGGAAAATACAAGAAATTGTGGATAGAACAAACTAACAGTAAACACTCAACAAGACCACATCAGCAACATACAACAATTTTCCATCTACGAACAAGGCACCGCAGGCTCAGCTACTGCTTGTATAAAATAAAGATTGTACAGTCCCCAAAGTGTGCCTGTCAGATAGGACCACAAACACCTGAGCACATTCTGCAGACCTGCCCATTCTACCTACAACTTCAAAAAGACAAAGAGCAAAGTGTGCAGAGCAAGCTATGGAGAGCTGACATGCAAGGTAATAGAGGCAACCCACCTGATGATCTGATCTGAGCATACAAAACCAAACACACAAAAAAGAAGATAAAGAATAGCCAGTTTCACCATTCAAAGCCAAGACTAACATATCTTCACCTAATATGGTACCTTTCCTTTAGAAGGAGGCTGAGAGAGGGATCTTACTGTATCGGTAACACATAGTCTTGAAATAATGGGTAGGCTTTGTGCTGTGGAAAGGAGAAACTTCATCCCTGGTCCTAATTGTCAGTGCTATAAGCTGTTGATTTCCTTGCCCCTCTGCAGTTCAAGGGATGACTAACAAGTCGCCAGCAGCTGGCACCATTATTATTAGCATACTTCTTCTTCTTTGCGCCCACCAGCTGTAAACTCTGGTGGAAAGTTCTGGCTGTTCATCCACTTCTGAGTGTTGCATATACATCCATTTAACAGATCTGACATATTTGTGTGCAGACTGTTGGTTCCTTGCCTCTCAGGCAGATCCACTCCGACTTCTAAGGAAGCTCCCAATTAGTTTACTTTTATGACATGCTTTTGGGTGGGCAGTGCATCTATTCTTGTTTTCCCTATAATAAGGCACTGGAACCCACACAGAGGTATCAGAATACTGCACTGGCTGCTGAAGATAGGGATGATGATCTCATAAGTATACCGTAGTTTTGTTTCGCAGTGAATAATTTTTTACATTAACAATAGAGATTTAACATGAAATTAAGGACTTTTTATTTTTTCAGCATGTTTGAGCCATGGCTAAGATAACCACCACAAAACTTTATGTGGGCAACCTTCCAAGTGATGCAGACAAAGATGAACTAGAAGAGGAGTTCAGAAAATTTGGTTCTGTTGTTGAGTTTGATATTCTCAAAGACTATGGCTTTGTTGTAAGTTGCTATTTTAAATCAGCATTCTTGGAGTAGTATGTATGTGTGCATGAGAGAGAGAGAGAGAGATTCAGGCATGCAGGTGAAGTTTTTCACAGAAGTCACAGTATTTGAAATCTTCCTACTCCACTCATACACTTGCTGGGCTGACAGGCATGCATCACTGTACTAGACCATCATTTGCCAGTGAATATTGCAGGTTTCACCCCTTTTTATTCTGCTTTTGTGACCCCCCAATGCAGTAAAGAACCTCAACCAACTCCCACCAAGTCATTTTATCTGTTGTTATCGCATGCAGCTTTCCTCAGGTCCTCCCCATCTTTTTTAACTTTGCTCTCTAGCTCCCTTCTCCATGTGTTTTTTTGGTCTTCATTTATTTTTGGCTGCTGAAGATGGGGATGGAGCACGTATGACATTGCCTCGAGAGCTGTGATGTCATTTCTTGACTCAGCACACAACTCAGCTCAACTATTTCTATGCGCCTGTGGATTCCACCGCGAAGACATTATAGTTATACTGTTCTCAGGTTTTCTTAGCGTGTAAACTATCCAAGGCAGCATCTTTTCTTCACCTCTTGGTCTACTGGAACCTGTTTAGTTCTCTCCCAAAGCTGTACATTAGTGATTGTATCATACCACCACAAATTACTTAGTGATATGAAAGCTTCTTTCACCTTTTGTATTCATATTTTAAAATCTTTTGTCAGTTCACCCCTTTACCAATCAGAAAGCAGATAAGAAAACACTGCTTCTCTTTGCTTCATGTCAAAAGTGGGCGGCCATCTTTAAACTTATTGTGATGTCACTCTGTTCTCACCATGATGTCATATGCTTACCACTGTTGACCTCCATAACAACAGTATTGAAGCCCACTGTAGAACACTTTTCATAAAGAAAGAAAACAACCAGTACAGTAATTTTAAGTTTTTGTTTCTAAAAAAAAAAAATCTAAAACTGTTGTGTATTATGTTTTTGTGTGTGTGTGTTTTTTTTGGTTTAGTTATTCTGAATTAAGCTTTAAGGCGGGGAAAAGGGACCTTCACTTTTACCTATTCTGAATTAACTGAACATCTTTTGCAGTGTTTGAGAAAGTCGGCCTACTTTAGAGCTTTCATTTAAACTTAGAATTTAAAAAGTTGAATTATCTTGTAAATTGTTTGTTCCTTTCCCCAGCACTTTGAGAATGAGGCAGAAGCCAAAGAAGCAGTAGAAGCTTTGGATGGGACAATGCACCATGGAAACAAAATCAAAGTGGAGGTTATAACATTTTTCTTCAGAAACATAGTTGTTTTTATGTCACAGTTTCATAAATTCCTTAATATGAATTTTCTTGACAGCAGAGGTTGTCATAATACTGCCTTAAGCTGTTTAAAAGTTAATAATAAGGTATTCTTAAGTAGTAACAGACATAATAATTAGGTAAGGTTACTAGTGTTTTGTTACTATCAAACTGAAATAAAATTGTTAATGTCTTTCTCAACTCTGTTGAGTTGAGTCAAGAATTTACATCACATCATTCAGGGCATTCCCATGTGTGCTCCATCCTCATCTTTAGCAGCCAGTGCAGAGTTCCAGTACTAATGGTACTGGTCACAATCTGTTTATATGTCCGTCTTGCCTTTCCTCTGAGTGCAGTGAGCTGGCCAGACCCTCTGGTTACACCCAGGTGCCTCATTCTCTCCAGGCATTCTCTCTGTGTGTTCTGTTATAAATCCTAACATTTTTCCATGTTAATTATAACTAAAATATTTTTTGTAAACTACAAAACAAACCCCTCAAAAAAATTAACCTAGAACTATTTGTTTTCAAGAGCAGTTTGTACATCTGCTTTAAAAATCCTATTAACAGGGTAACATATGCATTTGATTACAGATTAAGAACACATTCTGAACAAAGCATATCTCCATACTTTCTATTTCTCAAAGTTCTTTTTAATAGTGCTTGGAATTTCTCTTTGTTTCCTCTTTTTAATCACATTTTTGTTTTAAGATTGAGGGTAGGGGGTCTTGTTTTATATATAAGGGATTGGGGGGGGGGGGGGGGGGGCTGTTTACCTGAAAAGGGTTTATTACCACTGGCATAAAGGCTCTTCAAGCCTAGACAGTATTTAGATTGGCAGCTGTCTTGACGTCTGTGTAGAGGCATGTAACATTGTTGTCAGGGTGTGTTATATGTCAGCTGCCCATGTGGGTTCCGGAGCCCCATTTTGGTGGAAACGAATAAGCACCTTTTCCCGCCATCACTCCTGAACAGGCATGTTATAAAAAGTGACTAATTTAAGGTTTGCTAAAACTGGATGTGTTAGGTCAAAAGGCATAGAAGTTACAGCCTTACCGAAACCACAACTCAATGTGCCAACTGCTCTTTGAAGGGTGAATGCAGAAAGAGAGACTGTATCATCACTGTCCATATGGACTGCCTGTATTCAAGCCTAGTTTGGTTGTGTTTACTCCATTAGTTTCAGGTATTACATTGTTGTGAGAATCTAAAAGAAAAAGGCTCACAGTGTAATAAAAATTATAATGATCAGAAACTGTTTACAGAATGTCTTGTCTGAAGTTTGTAGATGAAAGTTTTCTTCTATTAAACACTTTTTTTTTAAAGTAAGTAAAAATATAGACCCTTTTATGCCAGTGATGCAATCTAGCTTATGATGCTAGATTTGTATTTTGAACATCAGTTGGCATTCAGTAAGTGTTGCCAACATCGTACTGGGCACCTTCACTTCGGACCATTTTTGGCTGGGTCAAACTTGGAGCCAAAGTAAATTTTAGGAACAAATCAGCCATAATGTGCTTTTGAACACAGGACCTTTGGGCTAGCATCTAGCCTCTACACTACCATGGCTTTAGGTTTTAGGTTTAATACATCAAATCAACATCATGGCACAAGGGTAGCAACTAGGGCTGTACCGAATAGTGATTTTTACTATTCAGCCGAATACGAATAGCGGGACCAACTATTCGGCAGAATACGAATAGTGTATCATCATCATCAGGTGCCTTGCCGACTGGCGTTGGGAATTTTGCCTCGCCACAATCTGCATGTATCAGTTCGTGTGCTGATACACCTCCATGACATGCAACAGGACTGTCAAGAATCTTCTCTCGTTGTCTTTCTCTATCTCTCCTTCCACAGATCTATCCAGTGGTCACCACATGTTCCATTTTCCCTCTTATCATAACATGGCTGAAAAATGATGCCTGTCTCCTTCTGATGTCTATGATTAATTGTCTTCGGGCTCCCACCTCTTTCAAAACCTCTTAGTTGCTTTTTTTGGTTGTCCAAGGTATTTTTAGCATTGTTCTGTAAAACCACACCTCTGTGGCCTCAAGAAATTGTTTGGCCTGCCTACCGATTGTCCAGGACTCACAGCCGTATGTTAAAACTGGATGTATGTAGCAAGCAAGAATTCTTTTTCTCAGCTTCAATGACAAAGATATAATGCATCAGATGTTCTTCATTTTACAAAATGCAGTTTTTGCCTGTCCCATTCTGTTTTTTTTTTTTCAGTAATGCATCTTCTATCTGATGTTATCCATTTGCCAAATTTGCATTTAAATCATGGTTTGCTCGGCCTTTCGTTCGATGTAATTTAAATGCACCTTCATATTCCGTTAGCAATATCTTCAAATTTGATTTGGGCAAAGACACCCTGAAAGAACGAAAAAATAAATGTCTCTCTCTTTCTCTCTCTCTCTCTCTCTCTTTCTCTCTCTCTCTCTCTCTCTTCCCCCCCCCCTCTCTCTCTCTTTCTCTCTCTCTCTCACGCACAGACGCACAACAACAAAAAAGAACGCGTTCCCTTTAAATATATGTGCTTATTTGATGAGGCTAACAGTTAATATTGTACAGACCACATTTTCCACTTCAAAATTTGAGCCAATATGGCATACACACCCAGTTTGAGAACCTCTGCTGTAATGACCTGGTCGAGTCAGCAGGCAAAGACGCAACCGGTCGCAGTTTTCCCTGCTAGAACAGACTTAGGAAACGGCAACTATTGTGTTAATGAGAGTTATTTCAGTCCATCGCAGTGTATGCAGAAATCACTTTTCGTATTCGGCCCGACCGCCACTATTCGGCCGAATACTGAATAGCTATTAGGTCCACTATTCGGCCCCAAAGCGAATACTAAACGAATATTCAGTACAGCCCTAGTGGTAACCCATAAGTGCTCCATTCTACTTCAAACTCAAGTCTGAGTCCAAAGAATCTCGGCGCAGTGCACAAACTCTCTAGTACCGGCGAGGATAATACTTTGATTAGATTTTTAACTCAAAATTTTGCCTGTGCAGTGTTGTTAGGCTGCTCTTTTCGATTTCCAACTGCCAAGGGATTTTTTTAATGTGTGCGACAGTACACATGGGTGTCCAGTCTTACTACCCAGAGAACGGGAAATTATTAGTAGTGTCTTAATCGCTATATATTCAGTCATTGTTATCAATTTCCACTTAAGCGTGGGGAGAAACAGTTTACGATCCATTGCTAGGTAGCCAGCAATGGCTATTGTCATTCTGTGTCCATGTAGAAGCTCTTTAATGTCATCATTCTCCCAGGGCAGGACTGCTCAGCTGAGTTTATTCAGGGGCCAACATTTTAAAAGTGGAGATGGTCACGTGCCAGAAGCTGGAGGCCCAGCATAGAAAGATCATCAATACAGTACCACTGGCAGTGATCTGCAGGCCACTTGTTACCCCCCAAGTTGATAGCCCTGTCCTACAGTGACCTCTTGTTTTCACCTAAGTTTTTAAAAAATTTGTTTTTGCTTGCATTAGTAGTTGTTCTGGCTGTATTATTAGATGACCAAATCATTTGATCTTCTGTTTCTCAGCAATTTTGCATGGTGCTGTTCCCACAGTCTGATTAATATAATTTCTTTGATGGTAAAGTTGGCGGCTTTTTTCGGGGACCTCTTTTCATAGGTTTTAATTTTGTGTAGGTTAGGCTTTGACAAACTGGTAGCACAGCGTTGGTATGAATATGCTGTTTATAATCTGTTTCTCTGCGCTAATGCTGATTGGATGTTTTAATAACAGTATCTGTTAGTATATAAGTGCACTGACTTGCTGGTATCCTGTTTCTCTTTCCTGATCTATTCTGTAACATGGTGTTGGTGTGAATATGCTGGTTATAATGCATTCAGTGCTGAATGTAAAATTTTTTTTTTTTTAAAGAAAGTTGACTCACCAGAATTGCATATACATTTGATTTGACAGATGTCTCGAAGTAAAGTGCGACAGAATCCTGGCATGGGAGGCAAAGGAGAATGTTATCGCTGTGGTAGAGTAGGCCATTGGTCAAAAGAGTGCCCAAGAGGCCCGTAAGTTTTAGCGCTGTAATCATTATTATTATTAGTGTTTTTTAAAAAACAAAATTCTGATTAAATGTTAAATTATTTTAAACTTGTTTCTTATCCTCTGATGTCATTTTGTTTTGGAGTGTAACAGCTTCTGATGCATACATTGTCACAGCAGTAGATTTATTTATTGAAGGTTGCATGTTATGAACCACTTTACTTTTGAATCTTTTGTCCATTTATGTTAGCAACATATGAATAGAATGGCCAAGTGTGAGACTCAGGTTGTTTCATTAACTTGTCTCTATTATTATTCTTAAACCATTTTCAGTCAGTTTTCAGTATTCATCTTAGCAAATGTTATGTGCACATTCTCTTTTGGTTTGAAATAGTGTTTTTCTGTCACTGCAGGTCTCGTGACCGAGGGCGTGCTAGAGGTGACAGGTACAGCCTCTATGACAGAGATCCCTATTATCCAGACCCGTACGATTTCTATGCCAGAGCACGGCTGCTACCGCCACTCCCATATGATCGCTATAGGTTTGATCCATACGAACGTCGACTACCTCCACTTCCGCCCCCATATGATTCATCCTACCATGATTTTGGTAGGGTATCGCCAGATTACTACAGATCTGCAGCAGCACGTGATCCATACTATGATTATTATGAAAGACGGAGGTGAGTCATTAGTTAACATTATATGGGATGGAATGTAAAACGGAATCAAGTTTCTAACATTATATAGGATGGAATGTAAACAGAATCAACTCTCTGCAGCTACGCCTTGTAGTTTTTGCCTTGTGTTGGTCTTCATGTATTTTCACGTCCTTCTTTCTCTCTTTCTTTCTGTAATTTCCTTTTTTTTTCTGCTTTTACACTTAAAATGATGGTTGGTTTATTGTGTTGTGCCTTTGACCTGCCAGACGTGATCGCTAGACACAAGATAGCCCATGCGAGAGCTACCTGGATGTGGTGGCTGATATTAAAGATCCTCTGCACAGCTGCCGATGGATGAACACAAGATAAGCACCTGAAGAGGGGATGGGCTTGGATAGCAAAAGTAGAGGATACCATTAGTAAAATTTTCCCATTGGAACATTTCAGACTCAATGTTGAATGGGTAGAAACACCGGAAAAAATTGCAGAAGTACATGGAGGTAATAATCACCCTGGGCAGGTATTATAGAGAATGGAGCCAGACAGCTGTTGCTGAAATAAGAACTCTCATCCACAACCACGCTCGACTAGGTGACGTCGTTACCTATACAGATGGCTGAGTGATTTGCAAGGTGCAGTCAGGGTTGGCATGTACTGTGCAGGTGAATGGGAGGACAGTAAAGGTTCAACTGCTTCTAGTATGGAGCTAAGAGTTGTCACTGGAGCACTTGCATGGCTGGCGGAACAAAAAGCAGCTTGCGCATCAATAGTGTCAGACTCACTGGGTTCGAAAAGACACCTGGCCTCAAGAGCAAAGTGTGCAGAGCAAGCTACGAAGAACCATGAAGGACCTGTTACTGACATGTGAGTTTATAGAGACAACCCACCTGATGGTCTGATCTGAGCAATCCAAACCGAATGCAAAGAAGAAGAAGAGACTCACTGTGCATGCTTAAGAAGATGAAAACTGGAAAACTGACTAGAATGGGTTGAGACATCCAGAAGTCCCGCCTGAAGAAACTGTCTTGCTGTAGGCACCAGGATTAAGGGAAATGGAAGAGCTGACATACTGACTGTGTTTGCTGTAATTAGTGGATGATGAATTTAGACAGGGCAGATATACTGAATGCAATGCATTCTAGTGACATTAAGACAAGTAACTAGAGACGATAAACCACCTGTTAGAAATGGGTATTAAACGAGGACAAGCATGCAGAAACCAGTTTTGGGGCAAAGAAAGAAGATATACCAATCAAGTCATGTTAGGTACTTTGATCATGGAGGCGCTGAGATGGCTGCAGCATCAGAGGGGGGAGCATGTATGGGTCAGACCGATCTGCTTGACTGTCCATATGGACAAGAAACAAGTTGTGATTTATGGATAGGCTGGGGCGTCTGATTTCAGCAAACCTCAAATTAGTCACCTTTTGCGACATGCCTGTTTGGGGGCGTGGGGGTGTGTAGGCAGTGAACATATCCCCCCTCCCCCTTACCCCTCCACTAAAGTAACAATGACTAAGACAGCCTGCTAAGTATCAGTACTGCCCTTGTAGAAAGGAGATTCAACCTACTGTGAATACATTTGCAAAGAAGAGTCATATCCGTACAAACACATTTTTAAAACTTGAATAAGGTCAAAAAGAGATAGGATCTGCCCCATCTGGTGTAGAATTGCATGTGCTGCATTTGGAATATCTAGAAAAACTCCATAAATTATTGTTTCCTCACTGATAGTTGTTTACTTATTTGCTGAAGTTGCATGTGTTGGGCCTAAAATTGCAGATCGCTGCCAAGCTGTAAACCACAGAACAGCATGACAGCTGTCCATTTTATAGTGAATAAAGAAGAGAAAGATTTGTTTGCTTTACTGTGAGGATAAGTTTGACTCTAAATGTTAAGGGTGAAATTTGTTGCACACGATAATTGGCACCTTTCCATCTTTCCAGACGATAGTGTTATATTGCAATTTGAGGAGACATTAGAGTCACAGTCCATGGCGAGTGTGACTTGCATGACCCACCCGCATTAAGAAAAATCTTCCACAATTATAGCATTGAATTTCAAGACCATTGTTATCAACATTTATGTTTTTTCTCAGACGCTTAGCTCTCATCCTTTCTGCAGACATTTCTTCCTCCATTTTCATTCACTTTCTGATGTGCCCCTGCCACACAACACGTCCATAGCATTTTGTTCCCACGAGTCTGTCTCAGCATATGTATTATTCATGACCAGTTTGCACACATTTTATGTCTAGTAGAGGTCGGACTCGACATCTTCTGCCCATCTTTAATTCACCATAAAGGATTTTTGCACACAAATTATACATTTGCATATGTACAGTGCAAGTTGGTGCATAAAAATATTAGGCTAGTACAGTATAGTCAGTATGTCTTATTGGCAGGGCTATTCATCTGTCTGCCCAAGGACCTAGCAAGTGACCTGCGGATCATTGCTGACTGTATTGTATTTATAAATGATCTTTCAACACTGGGGCTTTGGCCTGTAATGAACCCATTTTTCAACTTTTTAGCATCTGAGTAAACTTAGTTGAACAGCCATTTCTGTACATTTTTTTAAACAGTATATTCTATAAATGTTATTATGGTTAAAAAAAATCCTTTACTTTTCCTTTGTTTTTCTACTTTTACTTTTAATTTACTTCTTCTTCTGATACCTTGATATTTAAACTTTGAAAGGGGTTTACATCTGTGACAGGAAGGGTGCTATGGAGACTTTATTTCTGACCCGGTACTGAAGTGTCATCTTCACACAACTGTATTACAGGGCTTACTGTTTAGTAATGAAAAGCAAGGTAAAAAAAAACAAAAAATATGTTGATTCTCTGCCTTGTTTGAAAACCCAACCAAAATTACATTTGTTGTAGGCTGGCAGCTTTAGATGCTTATGGCGACAAGCTTGCGTAAGTCAGCATACCTTTTCTTGTTCTCTTGGTTTCATGGTTTGTTATTTTTATTATTCCTGATACCCGTTTCCAAAAGGTTTGAATCTGCATGTCTCATTGGGCATCTAAGTTTTTTTTGTTTTGTTCCATGTTATTTGCAGCACAATACTGTTAAGCATAAGTTGTTTGTTTATTAATTTGTTTGTAAACAACTTAGGATTATCTGACAAAACTCTTGATCGCTGAAAATTTTGAGCAGTTTGCAAAAAATGACAAGCATAAATTTAAATGTTGTGCTCCCGAATTGTTCATTCCAAGAGGGCCTTGACAATGTCTGGCTTGTTGTGCATCAGTTTACCACCGAGTGGTGTACCTGGCTGTTCATTTCCAAGCACACCCTGAACAAAATATCCAAGGGTGCTAACTACCTGGGACCTCTGAAGCGAATGCTTACCACCCTGAGCAACCTGTTTCAGACATTCTGAATATGCTTTGTGAGTCTGTTAAATAGTAATTACATTTGTGCAGCTGGTTCTCAGGCTGACGAAAAGCTGCTATGACTGCCTTCACCTCCAATCTGAAACTAGATGTTATGCTATTGTATGCCAGGCATTGTTGCACTAAGAGTTGTGGATTCACCTTTGCTGTGAACCCCCGTGCACTCTTTCTGCCCCTCAGCACAGAGCCGTCTTTATAGGTAATCACATCACTGGCATGGAAATCACCATAAATCAGTTGTTGAACTCCTGATTCTGCAGACCCTGCTGGCGAGAACCTTCACTCCTGGCCCAGTGTGATTAGAAACCAGTATTTTCAAAACTCTTTATCTAGAGTGGAGTATTAATTCTGCCAGTACTGAACAAGTCACCATACTTTTCTTAGTAATTCAGAAGACATCCGATGTTCTTTCTGTCTTCTATCACAGTCGTGTTTTATATTAAAACTTTGTGTCCTTTCTTCTTCTTCTTTTAGTCCAAGCTGTAGTTCTTTCTTCTTCTTCTTTCAGTCCAAGCTGTGCAGTACTGGGAGTCATATCTATCCACAGCTTTTTGTCTCGTGTACTTTCAGTCATTTCTGACACAGGCGATCTTCCATGCCATGATGTTAAGACTATCCAGCATCTTCTCTCTCGGTCTCCCTCTGCCCCATATTCCCTATAACTTTCTTTTCATCTTATTTATTTTTGTAACCACTGATGTCTTATAGTGTCTCAGTTATTTCCTTAAGACCCAAGTATTTATTGCTTGTATGCTCAGTTTCTGTGGTTCAGGAGTTGAAAGTAGTGACGTGAGTTAAAGTAAATTGGACTAATCTAAGCACGTGTTCAAGCACACTGATATCTTGGCTAATGGAGATATATTTAGCTGTATTTTGCTTCGGCTAATGAATTTGGATTTGGCTAATGAACATTTTAGTGGATATTTGCTTAAGCCCAATGCAGACATAATATATAAAAGTCTCCTTCGGCAAAGCATTGCCTTTGGAGGTAAACAAAGAAGATGTAGAAGAGTTAGTTAAAGAACATGCAAAAGATATGACAAAAGAAGATAAAGCCGCTGTACCAAGAAAGGGATAAGGAAGATAAAAAGTGCTTATCAGAGTAGGAGGAGGAGGACAGTAGCAAAAAAAAAGGGAAGAATGTCAACAGCTGATGTTAAATTCACCTCTAGGAAGAGACAGAGACCAGCTACCTTGAATAAAGTTTGAAAGAGTGAAAGAGGAACTGTAAAAACATTGTGTAAGTAAAAAACCTTTCCTACACCTTTAGGAGTATCTGGCATATAGGGCTAGACCTATACTATATAGACCAATCCGCACTTACTTTCCAGGACTGCACCTGGTACCCACTCTTGGCTGGATCAACCTGGGAGCCAATGTCATTTTTTTTAAAGAAAGCCCAGTTCCATTAAGACCTGAACCCACCACCTTCCAGTCAGCAGGTGAGCATCTAGCTGCTTCACCATGGTGACTCACAAAAACATTGTGTGCATACTATAAATAGAAAAATTTTCAATTTGTCAATATACTTCTCATTCTATAACTAACTGAGAAGCTGTTCATCTTTGCCTTTGGTGAAGTTTTCCTCTTTTATAACGTGCTTCTTCTACTATTTTGTTAAACTACTCTTTAAACTGTGGACAGCATCCAGAATGACCCATCACATTGGCAGTTATGAACCTCTTTTAACTACAGTGAAAAGACAGAAAATGCAGGGGTACAGATATGTAATAAGATCTAATGGTCTCTCAAAATCAATACTGTAGGGCTCAGTAGAGGGGAAGAAGAGAAGAAGCAGACTAAGAATGACCTGGACACAGAACTTGACTGACTGGACAGGCCTCAGGCATGCAACCCTGAAGTCCACTGCATCTGGCTGTCAGAGGTAGAGGGAGCTGATCAGACTATAACAGCAGCTGGTGATCCAGGGACACACAGTTATTCGATGATGATGATCCAGCATGAATAAAATTATTATTTAGTTTAGAAACCTATGAAAATCATGTTTCAGCTAGTGAAGATTTTGGCTAGTGAATCTGATTATGGAACTAATTTTCTTTGTTAGCCAATGTATCATTCACTGTATTGAGGTCCTTCTGGAAGACATTTAATTGTAGAATAGTCGAAGAAGAGCACTGTTTCACAGAATAAAGAATATTTCATGCAGTATATATCTGTGATGACCTAGTGTATCTGTGATGACCTAGTGTATCTGTGATGACCTTGTTTTGAGTTGTAACTCAGGGTCATAAAAGGCCAGACAGAAAGCCAGTGCATGAATATGTGCAGCATGAAATACCAGAGGCCAAAAAGACCAAAGAGAAGACGAGTACTTAGTTCAAAGTCATTTGAAAGCCATAGATCTGGGAAGAAGTGTGTAACATTGAATGTAGTTTAAATGAAATATACATGATAGTTTCCTAGTGAACGCTCATGGTTGTGATTAGTAGAAGTAACTTTCTGAAGAACAAGCTTTCTACCTGGCTTGTTATGACTTTGGGCTACAGTTCAGAACAAGGTCATCACAATATCTGTGCCAGTTGTGGTGAGAATCAGTTTGGAATAAAAAAGAAAAAAACAGTTTTGATCAATAGGCTTATAAAAGCTTTTGGTTATAATTGTGATTTTTCTATAGTGATCTGTCCTGACGATTGTGCTTCTTGAATTCCTATTGGGTTATATGGCTGAGCATCTTTTATTTGGTTTCTCTGTCTAATAATGATGATGTTTTCTTTCATATTTAGTGCTTCTGTCCATGTCCATTGTGCTGCCACTGTAATTTATATAGTTTAGTTTGGCTTTGTTCCCAGCTGGGATTAGTCCCTACCTGGACACATTTGACAGGGTTACTTTCCCTGATCATGCATAGCTGCCTCAGCTCTCCTACCATCTGGGGTGCTGATGTAAGAATGCATGCTTTCGGGTAGAGCTGTATGGACCCAATCCTGATGTGTAGATGTGCATTATGGACATGCAGCACATTAGTGAGAAATTATGTGGAAGCTTTAGAGGTGTTGCTTTATTGAAGAATGGTGAGAAGACCCTAGACAAGTAACAAGAGTAATACAGAATTCTTTAAAAGATATCAGCTCTCAAAGAGAACTGGTTTGCCTGCAGAAGATGATGATCTGCATATTAAGAAGGTGAAAACTTGAGTACGTTAACAGGAAAGCTGGAGAGGTGAGAGGGAGGAAAGACCAGTGGCAAGGAAAAACATCTATGGGTATCCAAGATATTGACAAGACTGAAGGCTGTGGTCAGGCATGGCTACCAAATGTCCTTCAACATAGATTTGAAGTGATGTATTTATATGTTACTATGTATGCATCAAGAATGACAACCTTAACTCTCTCACCCAAATGTCTCTGTATAGTATTCACAGCGAGAATTTCTTTATGGACAGTAATTGTACTTTTGAGTTTTATGCTAAAGGCTGTAGATGTTGACTAGTCACAGTTTTCTGAGGAATCGGATAATGAAGTGTTCATGAAGCAAAACAACATACACTTTCAGTGTTACCTATTAGGAGTTCCAGCGTGGGGTATTTGAAGGTCAGGGGCAACATTACTCAACTGTTTGGTTGTTGGTCAGTCTGTTTTGTGGGTTATTTGAAGGTTTAGGGCAACATTACTCAACTGTTTGGTTGTTGGTCAGTCTGTTTTGTGGGTTATTTGAAGGTTTAGGGCAACATTACTCAACAGTTTAGTTTTTGGTCAGTCTGTTTTGTGGGTTATTTGAAGGTTTAGGGCAACATTACTCAACAGTTTAGTTGTTGGTCAGTCTGTTTTGTGGGTTATTTGAAGGTTTAGGGCAACATTACTCAACTGTTTGGTTGTTGGTCAGTCTGTTTTGTGGGTTATTTGAAGGTTTAGGGCAACATTACTCAACTGTTTGGTTGTTGGTCAGTCTGTTTTGTGGGTTATTTGAAGGTTTAGGGCAACATTACTCAACATTTTAGTTTTTGGTCAGTCTGTTTTGTGGGTTATTTGAAGGTTTAGGGCAACATTACTCAACTGTTTGGTTGTTGGTCAGTCTGTTTTGTGGGTTATTTGAAGGTTTAGGGCAACATTACTCAACAGTTTAGTTGTTGGTCAGTCTGTTTTGTGGGTTATTTGAAGGTTTAGGCAACATTACTCAACAGTTTAGTTGTTGGTCAGTCTGTTTTGTGGGTTATTTGAAGGTTTAGGGCAACATTACTCAACTGTTTAGTTGTTGGTCAGTCTGTTTTGTGGGTTATTTGAAGGTTTAGGGCAACATTACTCAACAGTTTAGTTGTTGGTCAGTCTGTTTTGTGGGTTATTTGAAGGTTTAGGGCAACATTACTCAACAGTTTAGTTGTTTGGAGTCTGTTTTGTGGGTTATTTGAAGGTTTAGGGCAACATTACTCAACTGTTTAGTTGTTGGTCAGTCTGTTTTGTGGGTTATTTGAAGGTTTAGGGCAACATTACTCAACTGTTTAATTGTTGGTCAGTCTGTTTTGTGGGTTATTTGAAGGTTTAGGGCAACATTACTCAACAGTTTAGTTGTTGGTCAGTCTGTTTTGTGGGTTATTTGAAGGTTTAGGGCAACATTACTCAACTGTTTGGTTGTTGGTCAGTCTGTTTTGTGGGTTATTTGAAGGTTTAGGGCAACATTACTCAACAGTTTAGTTGTTGGTCAGTCTGTTTTGTGTGTTATTTGAAGGTTTAGGGCAACATTACTCAACTGTTTGGTTGTTGGTCAGTCTGTTTTGTGGGTTATTTGAAGGTTTAGGGCAACATTACTTAACTGTTTGGTTGTTGGTCAGTCTATTTGGTGTCACTAGAGGTTTAATTTAACAGATGATAGGTAGCTGAGCCAGGGCGTGCTCAGTTCCTTGCTGTATTGTGAAGTCTTAGGCTTCTTCTAGGTCTTCTTTTGCCTCGTGATGTTTCTATTTTTATGTTGTATTCTCCTACTTAGTCTGTTGACTTCTTCGTTTTTCTTTTACCAATTTGGGTGTTGAGAGAGATAAAATGTTCTGCTTCTTGCTCTTCTGGCTATCTTGACAATAGACACATCATGCTGCTGTAGAGTTTCTATGATGTTATCTTTCATCTTGTTCTTGGTCAACCTTGTCCTCTACATCCTTCTCCTCTTTTGGTCTGTTGCATTCAGTGTCATCTGAATGTACTAGCTGATGTGTATAAAAAGTAAATTGTGCTTACAAAACAGTAATTCATTAGGCAATCCTTTGATAATCCACAATTTCATAATCTGTACATGTGAAAAGTAAAGTAAAAGACTTATTGAAACATTGGACATATGGTGCCAGTCCCATATTTTCACAGCCCTAACGGCACTTGATGGGTTGTGTGATTAGCATCGTGCTGGTTGTCTTTACTTCCCAGGACATATAAACAAATTATGTGCTGTCTCTACAGTAAAGGTAGGCTACAGTGAAATTCACAGCTGTGGTTAGGAGTATACTCTGGTGAGGCCCTGCTGTCATTTATTGGGGTGGGGGTGGGAACTATCACACCACTGTCCTAAAACTGGGAGAGAAGTTTTATGAAATCAGTTGAGTGCCATAGTGCTCAAGGATCACGGAATAGTTCAACTCATTTACCAACTTCTGAGTCACTGGGTATATCAAAGTTAGTTGCAGGTCCTTTACAAGATATTGCAGAACCAAGGCAACTCGTTTGGGGGGTGGGAGGGGCTGTTTGTGATGTCACTAAGGAAGTTTTACATTCACTGGTTTGCCTTTCATTTATGAAGGGTCGATTCTTGATACTGCCGTTGAAACCAACGCAGACTGTCTGCTGTCTAATCGCCTGCAGCTGAGATTGGACATGGCAGCCCGTAAATAATGCCTAAGCCTTAGACGCTGAAATAGGACTTACCCTTGTTTGTCTGGGTTGACCTAGGGGCCCTAGGTCAATTATTTAAACAACAATAGAAACTACCCAGTACGCATTCAAATCCTAAACCTTTAGACTGTCAGGCAAGAATATATATTATAGCATTGTTTTCTTTTTTTTTTCTGTTGACTTCTCAGGGTTTCATCATCAGCCTCATCAGGTGCCGTCAGTGACATGAAAGCCCTCTCCAGGACTTCACTGCAGGGCAGAGTGCCAGGACCCTACTAAGCATGCCGGAATGTTTTGTTTTGGCAAGGCCCTTTCTTCACCTGTCATGGTTATTATTTGTGTATCAGCCTTGTCACAATATGACACTTACTGTTTGTAAGACGATACCTGAGTTCATTTTAGGTTTTATTTCATGTGTCTCGACAATGATTTGCCTGTATTTAATTGCAAAACATTTAGCCTATTTTAGTTTATGCTGTGACTTGTGTAGTAAATGACAGTTGCTCAATATCATCATTATCATCACCCCAAAAAATTTCATAAACTGTTGCGTTCCAGAGCTTCTCAAGTGCTTAATTCTTCTTTCACGTTCCAAGTCCTTTGGGCTCATTGCTGCGGATATCACCCGCCTCCACTCATCTCTCCAGTTGGCTTTCTCTTTCCAGTTGGTGACACCAAGTGTTTGCAGGTCTGTCTGGATGTTATCTCTCCATTGTCTTCGTGGTCTGCCATGTGGTCTACAACCATTCAGCTCCCTTGTGTATAGTTTTTACTTCTCTGTCAATTGACATAAGGGCTTAATTGATGAATTATATATTATAAATAGATAGACTTATATTGATAGACACTCATAGATAGAAGTAGAAGGATAGAAGGACACACTAGACACCATGAAACTTGAAAGCTATAGTTGCTATGCTTACCTGAAAATGGTATCAAGCACAGAGCATGCTCTCCGTAGCTCCAGCAATGATTATTTTTATCATTAAGGGCAAGACGGATATACTATCAGACAGTTACTGGTGCCATCGGAATTAGAACTCTTCGTTTGCTGCTGAAGATGGGAATGGAGCTCTTATGGGGGTGTTCCAAGTGCTATGATATAGATTCCTAATTCAACATTCAATATTTTGCCATGCTTACCATGCATGGAATCAAACATGTCACCTCCAAGTGACAACAGCACTTTGCTGCAGGAACATGTGCTTGACCATGTCGTCAGGCTAATGAAGACACCTTTTTTAGGTGTTTGTAACAACACTGTCAGTCTCAGCGACTCACCTTGTGTGATCAGTTGTCAGTGAGTATCAAACAATATATGATGAATTGTTTTAACGTTGTCATTAGTCTGAGGGGCTGATAACTCTGGCTGGATATATTTAGAGTTAGCTGGTGGTGGTTGGTCAGCTCACCACTTTGTGTTGATAATTAAAAAAACAAGGGGAGTATCAAACCATTCAGCTAGCACTGATACATTACAAAAGTAAGTTGTGTATCATTTACAGGATGTTGCAGAACGAGCCCCAACATTATTGGGCTTTTGTGGTTTTTCTAGGCAAAATTTTATGTTGAGTGGTTTGCCATTGCTTTCTGAATGGTCAGTGCTCGGTACCGCTGTCGAAACCAAATCAAGACAAATAGTCCACAGCTAGGATGGAACCCCACACCCCGATATTACAAAGCCCGTTCACAATGCCTAGGCCACAGAGGCTGACACTGATATATTGTTGAACATAAGGTTGCCTAGTAAAATGACAAACAGCCCGCAAATACTGGGGTTGGTTTACGATATGCTGTAAAGGACATGAAAACTAACTGGGGCAGGTGCTGAGGTTGACAGAGAGTATAATAATCATACTTTGCTGTGTCACTCTTTGAAGAGCTGTGATGATGTAGTGGCCAGTACACGTAATTATCAACAAAATAACCTGAGTTTAATCCCTATTAGTGACAGGATTGCCATTTTATGACCAGTTTTGCTCTGGGGTTGGAACAGTCTGGTAATGGGAAGTTTCCGTGATATATTTATGTACAGGTGGTCAGCACCATATTGACCAGACTGCTTGGCATGTAGCCTTTGGTCATAGAATTATTGGGCATTGCAATCTATGCCTAAAATGCGTTAATGGCACTACGGCTGCTTGCTGTATCTTTGTATACAAATTGACCATGATGATTATTGATATACAGAGGCAGTTTTGGTTAGCTTCATTTCTTGTTTTGTTTTGTTTTAGGAAACACGTGGGCATGTTATGTTATCTCTTTACATTTCTTCATAGATCCTCATAGAAGATGAATGTGCTATCATTAGTTTTTGTGATTTACTCTTGCTGTGTGTTGTTTTGTTGGCTCTGTGGCTATGTTGATGCGAATGCTTTGTAATGCCGGGATGTCGGGTTCGATCCCAACTGCGGGCCATGCGCCGTGCGTTAGTTTATACAGTGGTATCAATAAAGCCGACCGTCCAGAAAGAAATGGCAAACTACTGGATGTAAATTTGTCTAGAAAACCAATGGGGTTGGTTCTGCAACGTCATGTAAAGGATACGCAACTTACCTTTTTTGTTTGTTGTTTTAAATTATGTAACTTACGCATCTGTATCAGGCTGTGTTCTGATCTCACTGCTGAACAGATCAGAGTGAAAAAGTGGTTTTGTTGTAAAGAGGCGGCTCTTGAACAAATTCTTATGCTGGTGATAGGCAGTGAATTTGGAGTCGGTGACGTGTATTGAAGCTTCTCTGTTTAGAATTCAGCTAATTGTGTCTTTTCATCTGTATATTATCCAGTTGTGCTGTTATATATCACATTGGTGTATTCCCAAGTTTTATTCCTACCTGTGTTATTGTGTAAAGAGTATTAAGGCCTCTCAGTGTTTGTTTCACCACTTCGCCTTAGAACCAGTCTATTATCAACTTCTTTGGTTTATAATGTTTGATAGCAGCTCTATCATCTTACAGGCACACATTAGTGGGAACAGATATCTAAGGGCTATGAAAAATAACTGAATGTCAAAGTAGCTACAGCACATATAGTCAGTCCTTCGGCAGTTACTGCTGTTGGGGAATGAATATCTTCACATATTATAGTACCTAATATAATGCAGTTGTTTAGCCGGTTCTTTTTCCTCATCATCATTCTGCCACACAGCTCCTGAATAATATTTAAACAGCTAGGTGTCCATTTCTATAAGTCTTGGCATAACTTTCCCAGAGTTGTGTTTGTTGTAAAAAAAAAATTATGCTGCCTCTGCTGAGGATTAAACAAACATAACCACTGTCTCTGTATGGACCTATACTATTCACCCTGCCACTACAGCTTTTAGGCTGAATTTATGTACCACTTCCACCATTTAATATCAAATTTCTAGTTAAAATACCATGTCAGCGATTGTTTAATTCTTGTGCGTATTGTTTTCAAAAACAAAGATGGCTATAAATTGAGCATATAATGAGGAGAAGCTGACAGAGAACCACTAAAAAGGCACTGGAATGGGAAACCGATTGAGGAAATGAGGACATCAAAGAGAAATCCTAAAATGGACTTTGGGGAGAGAGGCCCTAGGTGCTGGACTAGATTCCATCCAGGATATCGAAAGGACTGCAGGATAGGACAGAATTAAGGACCAGACTATGTGTCCTATATGACGTGTAGCAGCTCAGTAGGATGGTGATATCGTTTTCAACTGTTTATTGTAGTTTTAAAGCTTTTTGACTGAAATTAGGTTTGTAGCATACAGTTGCACTCTTTAATATTCAGATCTTGAGCCTTTTTTTTTTTAAATAGTTATTTCTATTTTGCCACTGCAAGCTTGAAATCCAGTCTCATTGAATATTTAATAAAATCACACTGTAACAGTGCCATGTCTGCAATGTTTCCTGTAGATATTGGTCTACAGGTAATTTATCTACTTCATCAGTTGTTTCATTAGTGTTACTTTGTTTTCAGTTTTTTCCTTTCATTGACATCTGTGGCTTAGCAGGTATGAAAACAATTTCATATTTCTGATATACTAGGTTTCAAAGTCAGCTAAGGCAAATTTAGCGGTATTCTGCTTTGCTTGGATTTTGACAGTAGTATGAGTGTTAAACCATTCAGAAAGCAATGGCATACTCCTGAACCTAAATTTGCCTAGTAAAACCATACAACAGCCAATAAATGCTGGGGTTGGTTTGCTGTGTGGAGTAAAGAACTTTGTAAATAAACTTGCTAAAGCTAATTGTTTTAGTTTTCTCACCTTTTGCTTTGTTTAACAGTATTTATTTTAACTTTGATTTATCAGACTTTTAAACAGTTCTGATTTAGTTGTGAAGCATGGGCTGTACTGTTGAAACTTGTATGGATGAAAATACACTAGCAGTTCATGTTATTGTATTTCTTGGCTTTTGTTTGTGTTTTTCTGTAAATACAGATAGATACACTTGGTGTTAGGATCTGGGATTTCATGTCAGGAACAAGTGACTTATCCCAGAATCAGGGATCTCATCTTAGGATGAGTGGTGTAATTTCAGGATCTGGGGGTCTCATTTCAGGATCAGCGGTATTGAGTCAGAATCAGAGATCTCATGTCAGGATCTCATGACAGGATCTCAGATCTCATGTTAGGATATGGGGTCTGGGGATCTCATGTCAGAATATGGGGTCTGGGGGTCTCATGACAGAATATAGCGTCTATGTCAGGATATGGGGGTTTCATGTCAGGGTATGTGGTCACATGGCAGGATATGGGGTTTTATGTCAGGGTATGTGGTCACATGGCAGGATATGGGATTTCATGTCAGGGTATGTGGTCACATGGCAGGATATGGGGTTTTATGTCAGGGTATGTGGTCACATGGCAGGATATGGGGTTTTATGTCAGGGTATGTGGTCACATGGCAGGATATGGGGTTTTATGTCAGGGTATGGGGTCACATGGCAGGATATGGGGTTTTATGTCAGGGTATGTGGTCACATGGCAGGATATGTGACACTGATCACAATCAGAGAAGTGCTTCCTGAGAATTCAGATGATGTCAGACATGTACTGAGCAAAATAAAGAAATGCATTTTCCATGCACAGTGTATATTTGTTTTGAATTGTACGTTACTGACATCTGCACATCAGTAGGGACCCAGTGGTGAGACAGTAATTTATGTTTGAAAACTTAACGAGGGAAATTTTTTTTTCTATGTTGGAAAACCTGTGGAAGTAAAGTGTCTTCTTTTATGTTGGAAAACTTGTGGAGGAAAAGTGTTTTCTTATGTGTAGGTAAAGTTTTCTCTTTTTTGTTGGAAAACTT